GTCTCTTTTTTTTCTTATGCCTATCTGTATGGATCTATTTCTCTGTAATCATATATGCATACCTTTTCTCCAATGCCTGTATATGTCTCTTTTTGTTCGTGTATGTCTGTTTATCGCTTTGTATCGCAGGCTATCTGTGTCCCTTTAAATTTTTCTGTTTGACTGTTTTTTTCTTTCAGTATATTTGTCTCTCCCTGTCTGGGTGCTCTATCTATAATTGTCTCTGTTTACTGTCTGTGAGACTCTTTTTCTGTGAGCATATATGTCTATTTATTTTTATATCTGTTTTAATTGATATATAAGTTCGATTTGTCGTCAGTTTCCGAAGAGGCTTTAAAGTGTGAATCAAGTTATAACGAAGTGTCAAGTGAAATTAATGAGAGTGTGTGATAAACTATGAGTACTAGATAAGATGTATCTAGTAATCCATCCAGAACTGTCCTGTAACGGCTATTGTTCGAGATTGGGATGATGCAATTGCACAATTCTTATACAAATTTTTTATAAAGTAAACTTCAATATGTCGACTCTTGGATTTTATTGAAGTACTTAAAAGGCTATGAAGCGGAAACCAAGTTTATTATTATTATTTTTTAAATTAAAAAACGTAGGGTGGGTGCCGATAGTATAAGCCGAATAAAAAAACGAATCTTTTCAACGTTGGCCGAGATTTTTGTAAATAGGAGGGAAAAAAGGCGAGCCGGTGGGAAAATCTGTGGGGGCACAAGACCGGAGCGCAGTGGAGGCCAGGAGGTACTCAGCAGCTCCATGCTGCCGATGCCATCCTGCTACACAAGGCTGTGTCCACCCTTGGTGACTGACAGCCTTCAACAACTAAACCCCACACGTTTCCACAGCTGTTTAGAACATTTGTACAAGCACTTCATGGAGAAAGCTTCATTTCTCTTGAGCTTCCAGTAGTTTCTACAAGTTAGACTTTATTTCCGACAGCCTTACCTGGGACTTAGTGTTTTCTAATTTTATTCCGTGTTCTTCGTCGAAACGTGATGTATTTTTCATATTGACGTGATTAAAAAGATTCGGGTGGATCTATGGTTTTTTTTTAAGGAAAACAATCGGGCCTGACTGGATTTTTGCGATGTAGAATTTGTGAAAGTCCGTACGGATTAATATCAAAATCATCTCGTTCTTGCAGTCATTTCAATTAGTCTCGCAAGGACAACCGCCTCAGATCCTGATCGAGTCGTTTCCTTTACCTTCAGCTAGATAATTCCGCAATGTTTAAAAAAAACTTTCTCTTCCCTTTTACGACGGAGTTTTACAGGTGAAATTAAAATGATGCGTGGGCGGAGGGAATCCGAAGAGCTGGGTCCTTCGAATCCTGTCCCACTTTAAATAATCGGCTCGGTTTCGATCCTTGAAACTCTGACACAAAACTTTTTTTTGGCTGAGAAGCACTTCCAAATCAATTCATACAAATTCAATGTTCATGTTGTTCGTGTTCTACTTGTCGCACAAACTGGCAGTATGCCGGCCAAAATAAGATGGAGATATGGAGGAATGAGAAAGTTCCTCTAGTGTGCAACCGATCAAGTTTCGACGAGCTTTGAATAGCGAAGCCGTGATTCTGCAATTTTTTTCTCGAGCTGGTTCCTTTTCGAAGTGTTACAGGTCGAACTGTGGATGTCGAATGAGGACGGGGCGTGATTCAGGGATGAGTCAGATTCACTTTCCCCGCTCGGGTTTCGAAATGAGAGAAAGAAAATCCTTTTCCGCGAGTGCCTTTGATTGCCCCCCGACACAAACGGCCCTTTTTCCCCGGCCACTTTTAATGAGCAAGGGCGGGTCGAGGGAGGGCTAAAAGGACGGAAGGACGGTAAAACCCTTCCGCTCAATTTGCCGTCTCTTACTCGAGGATGCTTCTCGACCACTGAAAATTAACAAAAATTATCTTTTTATTTTAATTTTGAGTAAACTACAACTACCATTTTTTATGGCCTTATGATCGATGCATATTAGCCAAGGTGACGATTATTAGGCGTATGCGTCTTAAGGGGAGGTATCGTGAAAGAAAGGCCAGAGGCGCCGGCGAGAATCGAACCCACAACCGTGGGGTCTACGACACGAGACTCCTAGGCTAACACCGCGGTCCCCCGTATACAACATTAAAAACAAGAATGGCAAAAATACCCGTGGTATTACTCCACTCTCTCAATATTGTCTGTTTGATTGATACTTGTACCATTATCACTTTCATTATCATCACCATCATTTCCCAGAAGATCTATCGGCCATTGTCTCTTCAGTCGGCAAGGGTTCGAGTGGATTCGTCGGGATGCGAGGTTTCTGATGCGTTGAGTTACGATAGTTGGAAGGGTTTTCTGAACCTTGCAGTTACCGGAAACGATTTCATCTTGAACGAAAGTCTGTATGTGTAGTTGGGTTCGATATATAAAACGGAGGATCTAATATTTTTCGTGGGATTAAGGATTTGGTAATTTGGGTGGATGTTGGAATGTTTGGCTGAACCCCTCACTTCTAGTCTGTAGGTCCATGGTGAAGGTCCTAAGTTCGTAACTATGGTGGTGTAAAGCAGCCTTTTATTTTTGAGAGTAAATTAGAACGTTTGTCAAGAAACCGTGTCAGAGGTGTACATTGTGTCGTAACCTTCTAACGTTTTAGTCGTGTGTGAGGATTCCACATTATCGAGCTACAGCACCTCGTCCGCAGTTGGGAGGGGAATATTATTTAAGAAAACAGGGAAGATCTTTTCACGGAGAGTGAAGGTAATGTGGGTAGATTTCTGTGTAAAATTTTATACTTTTCTTTTACACCAAGACTCTAGAAGTCTGAGGTGTGAATGGAGATTTCGAGTGGATATGACAAGGTCGTAGTTGAGCTAAAGCTGAATCATCTCCAAATGTGAATGTGGTGGTTTCATGATGTAATGGAAAGTCAGCTGTGAACACCTGGTATAGTGTGGGGGCCAGGACGCTGCCCTGAAGAACACCAGGATAGGGTAATATGCAGAGAGGGAATGCCCTTAGATGACTTGGAAAAATCGGTCAGTGAAGTAACTGTGTAACATGGTGGATGGATAGATGCCCTTGAGCATGAACGGCAAGCCCGGGTGCCGAACCCTTGGCTTACGTCAAGAAAGACCTCAGACTGTCCCTTCTCATGGGAGGAGGAAATAATATCTACTACGCGATGGAGGATATAGGAGCTTTTCTAAACTTTACCCAAATTGGGTAGTAGACTTATTGGCCTGTATGAAATAGTACAATGTGTTGGCTTTCTTTGTTTAGGGGGAAAAAACGAACGGTTATAAATTTCTTTTTTCAGGAGCATCAGGTCGCCTGTATGGCTATGACCTTTGAAATCGTTATGCTATGTAGAAAAACAATAACAGCCCAAATCTTTCGTAACACTCGAATGTATGCACAACTGTATTGACCAAGAGTAAATTGATACTCGTCGACAATATTTTTTCGAAATGGAAATAAATCCAAGTCGTGGAGAAAGAAGAAAAAAGAAAAAACCGAGGCAGATGTGGTATATTAATAATTCATCGGATGGAATAAAGGCCCGCATTGGTGGTCTATTGAATCGAGTTTTTTCTAGTTTTTTTTATAGAACCATTGACACAGACCCACGTGCTTAAGATATATTAAACGCTTTTCTACGATGAAGACGTGACATCTCTAACCAATACAGTTTTACACTTTTTGAGGTTAACAAACCAAAAACATGATCGACTATAATGTTCTTAGTAAGTAAACAAAAGAACTTGTAAATAAGCTTCTAAAAAGGCGTTTTTTTAAAGTTTCAACTGGATTGAATAACTTTAGCACTGGACATATTTTGAGAAGCTCGAAGACCATCCACCCCGAAGTCGACATTTTCATCATCCAAGTCGGACTTTAACGATTCTCTCCTGGCAATTTAATATTGCGATAAATCCTCCCGAGACGTTCCATTTCAGGTGCATACATCAAAAACGATTCACACGGGATTCCAGGCGCCTTAAATAATTCATGTAATAAACACCCTCGGTAAATCAACGTAAACGACTGAATCCGCCGGGAGTCGGCCGTGCGATGTACGGATTATCATACCGGGAGGCGGTTTTTGCGGTGAAGGGAGGCCGCTTGAGCACACACCGGAGGACTATGAAGGGGTGAAGACAAGAATGGGGCTTGTGTCAACATCTTAAACGCTTCGCCGATAGTAAACCACCCTCGGCCATCAAACACCCCGAGATGAAGGTATCGTCATCCCTGTTCAGAGGAAAAGAGAAAAAACAAAGTTCGACCTGGCATTTATTTCCAAGATAGATTGGAAGTATAGTCAACATTGAAAAGTTAACAACTCAAGTTAAACCAGAGATATTTTAAAGGTTTTGGCCAGCCTGTTCCACTCGATCAACGTTTCTGAAGCTGAAGTAAAAAAAAAGAGTCAAATTTGTCATTTTATCAAAGATCAACCTTCCACGCTTAAAATTGACCTATGTTGTCAATACAAGTTGTAGGTCTTTTTCCAATACCATTGTGCTCAATAGTAACTGTATATTTCTTATTGAGGCCTATTGAGGAAGCCATGTAGTTCACTATCATCCTGGTCCTAGTCACACTGGTATATGTCAGACGTGCTTCGGCTTTTCGCCATCTTCAGTGCTGAATTTATATTAAGACGGCAGATGAAACCTCTCAGATGAGCTAAAAAAACGACAAAAAGCATTTGAAAGAGACGGTTGATGAACTTCTATTTTAATAGTATACGATCATCTTGGCCATATCGCTGGTTTGGTAAAGTCAGACGCTTTTCACGATCTTCAATGGTGGATAGATAACTGCACAAGTTCAAGATTCAATAATTTATATAGTTAGGTACATGATTTATAGGGGTAGGTGAAATTTAATCATCTTTGTCCGTTTAGTCTCGTTTAAGGAGTATTGACACGTTCGGTGGTTGGTCTGTGGGTTTGTCCGTGTTTACGTCCTTTGGTCTATTACAACTGCCAATTTTTATTTTTACAGATTAATGCCTAATCTTTGTTGACAAGGACCAGATGAATTTTGACAGACCAAACCAGCAATGATAGACAGGCCTTGACGATGGGAAATATTCATTGATTGGCCTGTGCGTTTCTCCGCGTGTACGTCCTTTTTATACATAACAAAATACTGAAACGAACAAGTCCATAAATCAAGAATAGTATTATGTATGAGATTTCTTTGGGAAGTTGTATTTGAAAATTATTGTTCAACTACTCTTTTTGCCAAGATCAAGGGACACTGATTTCTTCAGGAGTTGGTCTGTGCGTTTCTCCGTGTTTATGTCCTTTCGTCTATTACAACTGTCAATTTTTATTTTTATAGATGAATGCTTAATCTTTGTTGACATGGACCAGATGAACATCCGAAACCAAATCAGCAAAGAATTCAGTGATTGGCCTATGCGTTTCTCCGTGTGTTCGTCAGTTTTATAGACAATAAAATACTGAAACGAACAAGTCCATATATTCAGGAATTATGTTAAGTGTGAGATTTCTTTGGGCAGTCGTATTTGAAAATTTTTATACAACTACCCTATTTTTGGAACGATCAGAGGACACGGACGTCTTCAGGAGTGGTCTATGCCTTTCTCCGTGTTTACGTCTGTTTATAAATCACGAAATACATCTGGCAGACCATCAAGGCTAGGATCAGAAACGTCCAAACTGAGTAATGCTGTAATTTTCATAACTTCAGTGATAGGCCTAGGCTTTTTTTCCCGTGTTTACGTCTTGCAGATGGCAAAATTCCAAAAAGAAACATGTGTTATCGAGAATAGTATTAAGTGTGTGGTGATTAGTGACCGTTAATCGATGATTATTCAGAAATCGTGAGATGCGGTCTGGTGTGATGTAGGTTTCAGAAAAACATTTTCTTTATAGTGCCAACGTTTCGATCTTTGAGATCATCTTCAGGGCCTGGGATTTACAAATTTGTAAAACCCAGGCACTGAAGATGATCTCAATAAAAATCGAAACGTTGGAACGATAAAGAAAATGTTTTTCTGAAACCTATATCACACTAGACCGCATCTCACGATTTCTGATTAACAAATAGTATTAAGTATGATTTTTCTTTTTCTGGTTTATGTGTTACTGAAGGTCATACTTGTCCATCTACCGTTTTCAGTGGTTGGTATGTGCACTTCTCGGGTATACTTCCGTTTTATAAATGTCTAAACTTTTCCTCGTCTTCAGTGGTTCGTCTGCCTGTTTTTCCGTAAGTGCGTTCTGAACACCCATGATAAACAGACCGGGACGATAATAAATCACACAACGGATAAAAGTAATAGTACGTACTGCACATTCAAACAGAAATCGGAAGGAGTCCTTGAAATTTCAAGGCGATCTACCGTTCAAGGAGGTTTCCAGACTAAATATTTCTTTTTTTCACTCTCGGGGGATTTCAATTTATTAACAGATCGTACGTCCAATTGTGTTTTTGTGGGGTCGACCGCAGGCCGGAAAGGGCGTTCCAGATGAGGAAGCGCTGCACTGACGAGAATGTACGCACAGTCCGGTCCGCACGGTTGGTTCAAAAAAAAATTTCATCAGTTAAAGTCTGTTAAACAGAGCTTTGTTGAGCCGTGTGGATCACTTGATTTTTAGTTAAAAATTTAACTTAAGATGGTAAAGTCCGAGGTTTTTGTTTATTCAATTTTGCGAGTACGCCTGAGGCACGTTCTCTCGCTATTTCACCCGCTTGTAAAAAACAAGAAGGTAAGGGTAAAAGCGAGGGTAATTTTTCACAATTACCGTATCCCTTCTCGCAGTGGACACTAACCGGATTGTAGAGTACGTGACCAGACGTGAATCTGAAGGAGTTCCTTACGAGGGCGGCCCACCCCGCACAAACATCCCTCCGCCGTCGGTTCGGGGAGTCGAAAGTCGGAAAATAACTCCGAGGGGTGTTTTACCCCGGTTTGTTTATTTGGACGGGCCTTTTAGGGGTGATACGCTCCGTTGGAACCGGGGTACATCCTTAAGAACCGAGGCATTTTTTTTAGTCCATAGCCATCTAGACCAAAATAAAACCGTAATTCTTTAAACTCAAAATTTACATCAGTCGGTCTTTTTTATAACTATTAAAAATTTATTAAGTTTAAAGGCTTGCATTGTACTAGAAACCGAGGTAGAAAAATCAACCATGCTTAATCTTCTAATTTCCCTATATTCTCAGATGATCAATTCTTGAAAAGCAAAAAATCCAATAGTGAGAACTTCAGTAAAGAACTCAATTCATAAATCGGCCTTAAACCAGGGACAAGGGTAAACAGCGAGACTCGACGGACCTTTCACTTTCCTCCCTCTCTCGATATCAACGTTGTCTTTTTACCTCAAATTGAAACCGGAACAGTGTATTAAACCAATTCAAGATAATTGGACTTAGTTGCCTCCGCCCATATTCAATTGAGCCTGTGGGGAGAGAAAATTTCTCGATTTCCTTTCATTAATCAACAGACGTGTGTTAATATTAAAATATTACAATGGTCTATTCTGTTCAGATTGTTTTAAACCGAGGCGATCATGAACATAATACAAGAGTAAAAAATGCCATAAGCAATCTGGCTTCGGTACTTTAAAAATACAAAACAATGCTAATGAAGCTCACACTCCCTCTTTACACTCTCTCGCAAGACACACTCTCTCTCACACAATGAAACTAACTTGCACCACTCAGTTTCCCTCCCTCAATCAAGTCACTCACATCCCTCTCTTTTCCAAATCCCACAAGCACTCTCTCATTCACTACTCACTCATATCACTCGCACGCTGCCATATGCACTTCCTCTGACAGAGGTTCACCCTTTCACTCATAAGGTCACTCTCTCATTAAATAAAACACTCACGTGTATCTCCTTTTCATTTAATACATCTCACTCACATCACTCTTTTTATCACAGTCACTCACACTCACTCCCTAACATCATTACATATATGTCACTCTCTCACATTCAATGAAACTCCCTCAGGTCACTATCTCACTCAATGAAGCTCACTTTCTTTATCACACTCACTTCCTTACATCCTTACATATATGTCACTCCCTTTCATTCAACGATGACCATTCACATCACTCTCACCCTACCACGCCAGGACGCTCTCCCATAAATTAAAGCTCATTCACATCACTCTCTTTCCCCACAATACCCTGCTCATTCACTTTCACTGTCATTCACGTGACACACACACTCACCACTCACTCGATAAAGTTCACTCACATAATTCGCTTTACCTCACTAACACATTTCACGCCGTTTCATTCAATGAAGCTCACACACATCAATCTCATTCTACCACATGGCTCCTTCTGACAGGACGTTCTTCCTCCCATTCATTCACATCCCACTGTCATAAATAAAGCTCATTCACATCACTCTGTTTCCCACAATACCCCGCTCATTCACGTGACACACTCACCACTCACTCTATAAAGTTCACTCACATAATTCGCTTTACCTCACTAGCACATGTCATACTGTTTCATTCAATGAAGCTCATTGATATCACGCTCATGCTACCACATGGTTCCCTCTCACAGGACGTTCTCCCTCCCAATTCAATCACTCTGTTTCCCATAATACCCCGCTCATCCTACTACTCAATCACGTGTCACTCTCACTCACTTACTCACATAACTAGCTTTATCTCGCTAAAACATGTCACGCCCTTTCATTCAATGAAGCTCACGTACATCAATCTCATGCTTCCTACAACATGGACTCCCTCCCATTAACTCACTTGACACTCTCATAAAATAAAGCTCATTCATATCAATCTCTTTCCCACAATACCCTAGCTCATTCACGTGACGCTTTACTCACTAACACACATTACTCATGCTGTTTCGTTGAATGAAGCTCACTCACATCACCACCCTCCCTCTTATTCACTCACATGACACTTTTCCATAAAATAAAGCTAACTCACATCATTCTCGTTCCCACAATCCCTCATATGAAACTCATTCCCATTATTCTTATTAATTAACTTTTGGATGGTTTTCGTGCAAAATAGCTTTAAAAGTAGCTAAAATTAGAGATATAATAACGCAAGAAAGTGTTTTTTTTAAGAGAGGAAAAAATCTGTGATAAGTGTTTAACAGGAAGTCAGATACGCGATTAAAAGCGACGGTTGTGGGAAAAAAGTCGGATCGCGATAAAACGATGGTTAAATTTTATATAAAAATTTATCACGAGTATAAATTTCGGACCTAGTTAGTCCGAAGTTGGTTTTTTCTAGTAAATTTATCATTATCAGGGGGGAAAAGATAATTTTTTTAAATTTTCTCAGGAATGTTTGTCATTAAATATCGTCTTTAACGTAGAAAATGCGTAGTGATTGTGTTACAAGTTACGAAGAATGTGAAAGGAAAAGGCCAAATGAGTCACAAGTAAGCCAAGAAGACACGCACTTTGCGAATAATCTCACTGCAATCGTCTTTCGTAATAGATAAGAGAGTTTGATAATTCAATATTTACGTTCAGTTTATATATTAAAATGTATAATATGAAAATCTAAATAAAAAATTTATGACTGGACATTCCAGTCGAAATTTGGTAGATTTTTTCCCGGTGCCGAAGAAGTAGGAAGCAATGTCGGTTTTGTATTATTCAACTGCTCAGCTCGCGGGTCGTGAAGTCGAAAAGTTGTTTTCTTTTCTTTACTCTGGCCGTGTGGACAAACGGGTTTGTGAGTGCGTGCTCGAGGCCTACCTGGAAAAGGTCCATTCTCGTTTCCTACCTGGCCCCAGGTACGACTTTACCAAAATGCGTCTCGTCTTTTTTCCTTTCGAAAAACCAAAACAATTTTGTCGGACGAAAATAGTCTGTATTGTCTTTTTATCGGAGCCTGCGTGACTTATCGGCACTTTCCATGGTTCTTTAATATTTTTTTTCTTCACAAAATTAAATCTAAACAAACGAAATTTTATGGTAAACAAAAAACCGCAGGGTTTGAGGAAATGTGTCAACTTTTGATAATTCCTCCAGTGGTCTCCGGGTTGATAAACCAATTGTTTCATAGTCCATATCATCTTGGTCTGCCCATCCTAGCAGATTTACGGTAGTGCGTTTCGGCATTTCGCCTTCAGTGTTTGCGTGATTTCTGTTGAGGACAGACAGATTTAACGTCTTCAGTTCAGGAATTCTTTAAAAATAACTAGAAACACATTATGACAGCATAATCAAAAATAAAATTTGCCACGTCTATAGGGAAAGGCGTTGCTGAAAAGAAGACCGATCTTAAAGTTGCATTTAAATTTAAAAAAAATATGCCTGCTCTCAAATCCATTGATAATATGAACTGATTCATATTTTTTTGATATCTCTCGTGAAAGAACATATCCGCTTTATAGACTTCTATGAGAAAAAAAAATTCACAACATGATCAATTTACAAGAGAAGACGGGTTGAAATCACTGGAGAATTTTAAGAAACGACATAAGTACACACAGACACAGATACACACACACACACACACACACACACACACACACACACACACACACACACACACACACACACACACACACACACACAAACACACACACACACACAAACACAAGCGCGCGTGTAATATATATAAAATAAATAAAACTAAATAATAGACAAATTAATTTATTTTATCTAAGAATTCGGTTGAGATGAAAAATTAAGTGTAACGAGTGGGATTAGAACCCACGACCTTTGGCTCAATACGCAACTGCTCTAACCACCAATTAATTGAAATAATTAATATGCTCAATTATGACCGCTAAACCTGCATGGATTAACATAAAATTTAAAAAAATCAACAGCCAT